TTTTGGTTTTGAGATTTTTGTTCGTGTGTGTGTTTTCAAATACTTACCGTCAAACCTTGCAAGTCTGTTCATATCTCCTCCAAGTTCTGAGGTAACTGATAGCGCATGGCGTACTTTTAGGTTTGTTTCCCTGTGAAGTTAATAATATGACATAGATTTTTATATGGAACAGCCCAACAGTGTCTACAAAAAGCAATCAGGTGGATGCAGTACATGCAAAACCCAACCCAAGAGACTGAAGAAACCCCCTCTGTATGTTATTCACACTTCTCACATGTTCTCAGGAAAGTACGCGGGGCTTCTCAAGCTCCTAGGAGCTGGCATTTCCCCCATGGCACATCTGTATAACAACAGTTATCTGTTTTTCAGTTTGAAAGAACAGAGGACATAATAAATATGGTTTCATTCTAATCTGCCCAGACATCATGCATGAGTTATAAAACTCATTAGCAATGGAAGCACAGTTGCCAAACAAAAGAGGCCAATATCACTCTGGAGTCTACTATCTATATAGGAGTTTTACTTGCAAATGACGGTCATGGCTAATTCACAATAGCTGAAATTCAAATGGGAAAAGGAATACAGCTTCCTTTTTTTTTTTTTGCAGAATCAATCCAAGAAACCCCTAAGTCTAGAATTGTACAACCAGACAAGATCAGCAGGTCAAAGTCAGCTGGTCATCTTCGTACAGGCAGGACCACACATACATTATTCAGAGGGCTCTCTGGTATTCATGAAATGCCCAGCAGTGAAGAGCCTATGGCCATCACTTGAGTCTTGTGCTGAAGGGCTTGCCATCCCACTTTCCTCACTGAGTTCAACCTAATTCTCTTCTGCTGTAGCTTAAGATCATCTGTGAGAGTTCTATCTTTTACAGAAATGTTTAGTAACGAGCTTATTCAGTCAACAAATATCGATTAAATACAAATCATAGTCACCCATTCTACTCTTTACTTCTATGTGGTCAACTTTTTTAGCTTCCACATGTGAGTGAGAACAGGCGGTATTTCTCTTTCTGTTCCTGGCTTACTTCACTTAACATAATGTCCTCCAAGCTGTTCCATGTTGCCACAAATGACAGGATTTCATTTTTTTTTTATGGCTGAATAGTATTCCATTGAGTATATAGACCACATTTTCTTTATCCACTCATCTTTTGATGGACATGTCTTGATTTCGTATCTTGGCTATTGTGACTAGTGCTGCAATAAACATGGGAGTGCAAATATCTCTTCAGTTTCTTTTCCTTTGGATATACACCCAGCAGTGGGATTGCTGGATCATATGCTCACCCCATCTTTAACATCTGGCAACCACTAAATTGTTTTCCATTTGTACAATTTTGATTTTTCAAGAATGTTGTATACATGCAATAATATAGTATGTGACCTTTGCAATTGGCTCATTTTACTCAGCATAATTCTCTAAAGATTCATCCAGGTTGTTGCATGTATCAATAATTCATTCCTTTCTATTGCTGAATAAGTAACATTCCATGATATGAGTGTACCACATTTTGTTCAACCATTCACCTGTTGAAGAATATCTAAGTTATTTCCAATTTTTGGATATTACAAATAAAGCTACCATAAACATTCACATACAGGTTTTTGTATAAACAGAAGTCTTCATTGCCCTGGGATAAATACCCAGGGGTGAAGTTGCTGAGTTGTATGATAGTTGCATGGTTAGTTCCAGAGAAATAGCATTTTACATTCCCAACAGTAATGTATGAGTGATCCTGTTTATCCACATCCTTGCCAGAATTTGATGTTGTCACTATTTCTATTTCAGTCATTCTGATAGGTCTGTAGTGATATCTCATTGTGGTTTTAACTTTAATTTACATAATGGCTAAAGACGTCGAACATCTTTTTATGTGCTTATTTGCCATCTGTATGACCACTTTTGTGAAATGTCTGTTTATGTTATTTGCCCATTTTCTAATTGGATTGTTTGGCTTTTTTACTGTTGAGTTTTGAGAGTTTTTCTATATATTCAATATACAAGTTCTTTGTCAGATAAATGGTTTGCAAATATTTTCTCCCAGTCTGTAGCTTACCTTTGCACCTTCTTAGCAAGGTCTTTTGTGGAGCAAAATCTTTAATTTGATGAAGTCCAGTTCATCAAATTTTCTTTTTATGGATCATGTTTTTGTGCCAAATCTAAGACTAGCCTCAGATCTCAAAGATTTTCTCCTCCTTTTTTTTCTAAAAGTTTTATAGTTTATGTTTTACATTTGAATTCAATTTCCTTAGTAGTTAAATGGCCATCCAAATTAACGATTTCATGTTGGGTAAATAGTTTGTGTTTTCGAGGAAGTGGTCCATTTTATCTAGGTTGCCAAATTTATGTGTATACAGTTGTTTGAAGAATTTATTTATGATCTTTTTGATATATTCAGGACCTATAGTGAATTCCCAGAGTTTTAAAAATAAATTCAAGAGAAAAACAGTTTTCAAAATTACTGCAAAGGTTACAGGATAGCTCCTACAAATTGAATAGACAGTATTTATGCCATGCTGCAATAAAAATAAATTTTACTTAAAGAAAAAAAAAAATCACTGCAAAGTAATTAACAATGGACTTTGCAATTTACACTCCTGTGTCTCCCAAGAAAATAAAGAATAAGTTTTAAGTTAAACCTTGTTTCTAAAGACATTACTTTTAAATTAAAAATCAACCTAATTAATCTAATTTTAATAACTTACCCATCGAGCTCAGCAGTTTCAATATAACAGAGACCATGTGGCTCACTACTTGATAGGAGAAGCAAATCAGCCTATTTAAAAAAAAAATCATGACAAAAGAATACTTGAGAAGGGAAGATTGGTTGAAATAAAAGAAATTGGGAAAATTCAAAAACTGTGTAGTTTGTCTTTTTCAGAATAAATAATTCTATTCTGCTGTCCATTTAAGCTTTGGAAATCACCTATTATGATTCAGTTTTAGAATTCTAGTAGCGTTCTATATTGGAAAACTATTTTATTTCGAAGTTTTAAATTTTATTTCAGAATAAGTGTTTTTATGAAATTCTGAAGGTTTTGAATGTCTAAAAAGAATTGACTTAAATTTTACCATTTTAAGACATTTTCTAGGTATGTCTGAATGTATGGCTGGCATTCCAAATCTGTGAAATTTTCTTACCTTTGTGTTTTAAAATATTAGAATTGTCTTGTTTGTAAGTCCTAGATGTTAAATTTAGAATTGAATCACTCATTTTATTGTCTCAAGATTTTAAATTTCCAACTCAAAATAGGCCGTGCGTGGGTGTGGGTGTGGGTGTGTAGTTGTGTCTAAATTGGGATAAAACAGAACAGGGAAAAAAAGTCAGTGACAGCCCCTAAAGGAATAAATGGTTTTGCATTATCAAGGCTCTCCCACAACTTTGAATGAAAGAGCCAGAGAAACTGTCGAGGCAGAAATTATTTTCTGACTTGTCACAGTATGTGAACGGAGCAAAACCATAGAGAGAACACATCAAAAGTATATGCCACTTTTTATTCATCCTGATTTAAAGGGAAAAAAGTATTTTTTTTACAATTCACCTTGATCTTACTCGCCCCTAAATTTCAATTTGTAAAGGCATAAGGCACTACAGCTGTAGAGCTTAATGCTCTTTGGGCCTGTGCCTCTCCTCCCCTGAGCTTAAAAGGCTCATTTTAAACCAAATCCAGAGTCCTCTAATTCTAGTCATTTGTGACTGAAAATAGTTATGACGTGTGGAGACAGACACCTATTTGTACCCAGCAACACTGTTCTTCAAAACTCTGCAAAGAAGGTCCAGCGTTGCTGTTTGACATTGAGCTCAGCTGTGTCACCACTTCACTGTGGTAAACAAGGGGAGGAGTCACCGTCCACAGCTGGCTTAGAACACGTGACTGAGGCACCACCCCCACCTGGCAGCCGAATTCTCTCCTAAGCAACAGCCCAACTTGCAGAGGCTGAACCTGAGAGTTATAGACCCATGGGTCCTGGGCTAACCGTTCCTGCTCTGTACTCTCTGGGAACCTGGGACTTTTACCTGCCTACCTTCTACCTTCCTGCCTCTTCCTGTCTCCCCCCTTGTCGCCTTTTTCTTTGATGTCCTCTGAACCTTCCTCCTGTTTTCCTGCTGCCTGATCTCTGTCGTCCTGCACTCCCCTCATTCATTCTCTGTTCTCCCTGCCCCACTGCTGAGCCTTCATAGTGCCTTTTGCTAACTTCTCCTTTTGAGGTTTTTAGGTCATTATCGTTGAGGAGGGAGTGCCATGCATGATCAGCAGGAACGTCCAGCAGAATACGTGGCAAACTCACGCATCATCATGCATCCAGCCCCCTGATTTTCTGGAAAGGAAAAAGCAAGACAACTGCAGTAACAGCCCTGTCAGTCCCTTGTCACCCTTTGCCACAGGTGCTGGGACAGGAGTGAATCAATATATGGGTGTTGGGGCCCACCAGCCCATGACTGTGTGAGTCTCAGATCAGGCCTCCTCAACCTGACCCTCCAGTTAATCTCAGAGAATGCAATTCCTAGTTGACCCATAGTAATAGAAAAAAATTGAACAAAATTTGAATAAGAGGCACTGCAGAGTTTCAGGATTTGGGGAACTCCCTACCTCTCTTATCCAAAGATTAAGCCAACAGAGATATAGTTGGAGTCAAACAGAGAACAGTGGAGACGAAAATATCATCTTTTGATTGATAAAGCTGTTGGAGACCAGGCTTTAGATCTGTGGACCAAATGGGCTTGCTAATACTTCACTCCCATTAGACAGACTCATCTAGCCATTGACACTGGAACCTCTAGGCTACCCTAACCCTCCCACCATCTCCACCAGGGGATTTGCAATTGATGGCATGTAAGACAGCAATTTAGTTGAAACAAGTAACTTTGACTTGAAACTATAAAAATAACTTAAAATATAAATTATAAAAACTTAAAATAACAATGAAGGCAATTAGACTACAGAAATGGCTTCTCTGCAAGCATGTCCAAGGACGTGCTGAAAAGGATTAGATGAGATGCCTTGGTGGGTCAAGAGAGAGCCAAAGCCCACCCCTGGAGTTTAGGTCAGATTAGTTTTACCATTTCTGAAAGGTGAAATTTTCAATTCCTGTAACAAAAGAATGCCTTGGTTTTAAAACAAAAATTTTACTGTAGCAAACACCTAAAACATGAATGCCTTTTTGTGGAAGGTGTAGGTGTTTTTTTTCAAGAAGCTGAACAGTTGAATTCTCATAATGTTCTAATATGCTCATGTCCAGGAAGGGGTTTATCTCCACCACCAGCTAAGAAAAGCAGAACAAAACAAGAGACCTGCTGTCGTGATAGGGAGAAAGGTACACCTGGCTCCCAGGTACAGGTTCTGGTGGTATCAGGAACTCTGCAGTGTGTTTTTCTAACAATTTACTTGGTTCTTCTAATGCAAGTCAATCTCATTGTCATATCTGAACTACATTCTGTGTTTTTCTTGGTCCCAAAATAAAACTAGGAGCTCTGGAAATTCAGCCCCAAAGTATTCTTGAATTTACTAGGAGCTCTGGAAATTCAGCCCCAAAGTATTCTTGAATTTAAAAAAAAAAGGTGCAGAGAAAGGGGGGTTCTTTGCATGGGAAACAAAGGTGAATAACTTCTGAACATGCCAGCTAATTGTCAATCTTAGGTGAGCTCCTCCCCTTGCTTAAAATTTACTGATAAACTGGCATAAAGTTGCAAATTCTGTTTGAATAGCTAGAGTTTATGCATCTCAGTTGGATGCAACATTCTCTGATTATTTGACTTCCAGCATCTAAGCCTGGAAACCCAGACTCAAGGCCATTAGGGTGACTGTTCTAATGGAGTCAGGAACAGCAGATGGTAGAGGTTAGGAGTGAGGGCTCTGGAGCCAGACTGTCTGGATTTAAGTCCTGGCTCTCCCATTGGTAAGCTATTTGTTAACACTGTGCCTCTGTTTTCTCATCTATAAAATGGGAACTATAATAATAGTACATAACTTCCCCTCATTAGACTAATGCGAGGAGTAAATGAGTTAATTCATATAAAGTGTTTATAGTATTGTCTGGTAGGTACACATAGTCAATAAATGCTAGCTATTATTATCATTACTTTTACAACCTGGTTCCCCAAGATCTACCTCAGTCATATAAAGTGTTTATAGTATTGTCTGGTAGGTACACATAGTCAATAAATGCTAGCTATTATCATCATTACTTTTACAACCTGGTTCCCCAAGATCTACCTCAGTGTAATAACTCCTAAGTGGATCTCTTTGAGAGACCTGTGACTCCTGCTCCCCAAATATAAGATCTCTGCCAGCCCCTGCCAGCTGATACCAAGGAGCAGGGAGGTATATTAGTACTCCTAAGTGATCATAGCAGTTCACCTAGTAAAACATTTGCTTACCCTTGAAAATGGTTTTGTAGGTACTGAGTAACTAAACTCGGTACAAAAATTTGAGTAATAGAAAAAAATTGAACAAAATTTGAATAAGAGGCACTGCAGAGTTTCAGGATTTGGGGAACTCCCTACCTCTCTTATCCAAAGATTAAGCCAACAGAGATATAGTTGGAGTCAAACAGAGAACAGTGGAGACGAAAATATCATCTTTTGATTGATAAAGCTGTTGGAGACCAGGCTTTAGATCTGTGGACCAAATGGGCTTGCTAATACTTCACTCCCATTAGACAGACTCATCTAGCCATTGACACTGGAACCTCTAGGCTACCCTAACCCTCCCACCATCTCCACCAGGGGATTTGCAATTGATGGCATGTAAGACCGGGGCAGAATGTAATCTCTGCTCACAGGCAGAGCCCAAAGAGAAAGGAAAGTAAGGAGGCTCCAGTTCATGTACTTCACTCCCTGCCCCAAACTCACCAATCCAAAAAGGCACTTCTGGGAGACAGGAGAGAGCAAGGGGGTAGAAGACACTTAGAGTGTTATTTTGTGCTGTTCCTCCAAATGAAAACAGGAGGAGAGGAAACGAGGGGAGAATGGAAAATAAACATTCTCACCCCATCATGTAACCACAATCAAAGACCACATCTGCACTGTCTAATATGGTAGCCACAAGTCACACATAGCTATTAAAGTCTAAATTAATTAAAATTCAAAATTCAGTTCCTCAGTTGCACTAGCCACATTTTAATTTCTCAGTTGCCACATGGGGCTACTGGCTATCACATTGGACAGCCCAATATAGAACATTTTCTTCACTGCAAAAAAGTTCTACTGGACAGCACTGGGACACATGGATCACTGACTTCATGGGACTTGTCTAAATGCATGGTTCATTTTTAAACCAATGCTAATGAGGCACCCATGGAACTGGTTTCCTTCTACCTGATACTTGCACTAATACTTGCCTTCTGTGTCTCATTCCATCAAAGGTTTTGTAATAGCCAATAGCAAGCAAGAATACATACCACAAGATAGAAAATATACCTATATTAAAAGCAAAGACCAAGAGAAATACAAATTAGAATATCAAGGATAGAGCACAACTTGGAGCACAGATATGCTGCTCATGATGTCCTACAGAGTTTTAAAATATCAGACATAGATTTGACTTCTGCTTTTCTGGACTCACTTCTAGGAATATGATAAATGAACCTACTAGAGTATAGTATTAGTGAGCAAGTAAGTCCAGTCTAATATGCATCCATGTTAGAGCATATTCATGTGCCTGTTAAAGTGCATTGTTTTTACTACATACCTGAAGCAGAAACATACCTAGCATTGCCCCTGAAATATTCAATTCTAAATAAAATTGTAGGTAAATGCATGACATGTTTTAATTTATGCATGTATAATATAGCATCATTTGGCATAAAGTAGTTGTCAAAAAATTTTGAATGTACATACCTTAGAAATTCACATATGCCAGTTAAACAAAAAAAGCTAAGGTTATCCACTTAGAAGCACCAAAACTCTTTCATATAATCATTTTACTTGAGTAGAACTAAAATGAGTTACATGAAGCCTTTTCTTAAACAAAGAATCCTGAATATATGTAAGCTTTACCTAATTAGAGCATAGAGATCTGTTTACTTGTACCCCATTGATTCAGAACAGCCTGAATTTTGAAAATTTATAACCACTTTTTTTTCCTGTCTTCTTTCTTACAAAAGAGTGACATTTATTCATTCAACCAACATTTACTGCAGACCCCCTACAATCCAACACGGCACGAGGTGCTAGAGACCAGGCACATCAATATGCACTTTGCTTTCAAGAATCTTGTCGTCAGTTTCAGCTTAGAGAATCACAGCATGTAAGGGCTGGAAGGGATCTTTGAGATCATGCAGTAGTCCAGCACCCTGATCTGACACATGGAGACACCAAACACAAGAAGATAAAGCATTTGCCGTCCCTGAAGAGATGGAGCAAAGACCCAGTTCTCACCCATTCCCCTCCAGTGCCCTCAAACTCTTCCTGCCTTGATGCCGCCTACAAGGTGTGTTCTTTTAACAGACACCACCTTCTAGTGTAATGTTCCTAAGCTTTAATGAACTGGTAAATAAAACAGACAAGCACATTTAAATTGTGTCTAAAATAAAAGTGAATAGATTGTGAGAACCTAGCAGACTGTCCTATGTACAAGTAGCCCAAGCCACAGTGGACTTCAAGACCTCTGTTTTAACTGCTCTGATGCCTCTTTGCTTATTTTTGGTTCCTAGCTATTTTCCAAAGCATTAAGGTTGCCAGAGAAATAAGCACTTCTCTACTTAAAGTGTGAGCTCTTGTGAATGGCCTGTCCACTGAGTAGCCTCATTAGCGTGGGTTGTTCTGAAGAATTTAGTATACACAGATGGTACATTAATGAAAGAAGACTGTTTTGAAAGTGAATATTTAGGAATCTTAACTGAGCTGTTGTTCTTGTAAGCAGATCTTGGGGCCATACTTTTTTCCCTATGATAAAATGTCTCAAATTTAATGAAATATACAACTCGATACACAAAATTGCACTCGACCCAAAAATTTTCATAAGTAATCTAATATATATTTAACATAAATGCTACAGTAATTTGAATTTTTAATCTCTGATCTGGATAGCTTTTGCCACCCTAAATTTAATTTGAACTATAGTTAGTGGTGTATATTTTAGTGATTGGACCAAAACTTTGAATTTTATAAAGGAAATTATAGCATAATCAGCTTGAAAATTAATATTATGGTGCATGTGGTATACCAAGTAAGACCTCATTAATTAACATCTTATTAATTCAGCACAATCAATAAATACTTTCTGATTATTCAGGAAGGAGCATTTCTTTTCTCTTTCTCTAGATTATGTTTTCTTCAAATATACTGTAAATTTACAGTACTAATCAAAAAATATATGAGAACAAACTATTTTTAAAGTATTCAGGAAAATTCCCCCTCTGACTTCCAGTCAAGATGGCAAAATAGATGGTCCCCAGCATCACTCTCTCCGACAATCAACCAATTTACAACTATTAAAAAGCAACAACAGCCAAGCTGGGGCCGCTAGAGCTCAGGGGAAGAGGAGGAGAGACGCATGGAGTTTGTGAAGATGGAAGAAGCCACGATGAGAGAAAAAAAGGATCACTTCAACCATTTCATGCCCCAGCCACTTCAAGGCCGGCCCTGGCAAGCACAGGGATCAGGAGCTGACAAAAGCCACAACTGTGCCCCTCATATGAAGTTGCTTGGAGGTTGCAGGAAAGAAGAGGGATTTGGTGGCCCCCAGGCCAGCAAGACCACTAACAGGGTTCCCGTGGACCCACATAGGAGCAAGGGGCCACAGACAATTGAAAAAAGGAGCCACTCAGAGACCAGTGAGTCATTGCAAGGAACCGGTGCATGGCCCGACCCATGGGAAGTGTTTGGAGTGAGGGGGATGAGAGGGCACTGGCCTACCAGGGGAAATATTAGGAACAGTATGGACAGCTAATCCACCCTCCAATCAGCTCAGGCTCACTCAGTGGAGACTGGTTAGGAATATAGATCTGCAGGGGGTACAGTTTGCTGAAAAGACTTAGGTCCAGACCAGTGTTTCCACACAACCCAGGTGTACTGGATCTCACAAGACCTGGAAGTGCTTACAATGTCAACAATAAAACCTGAGCTGCACAAAAAGCCTTCCCTGGGGAATCAGCAGCAAAGTAGCATTTTAGCTCAGCCACAGGGCTCAAGTGTGGTCCCCACAGAAATTCCCCCATTTAGAAGTAAGCAAAGGCAGCAAATCAGTTCCAGTGCAGAGTTTAAGTGGTAGGGGCAGCTAATAATCCAGCACAGAACTGAAAGAAAATACAAATAACCCACAGATCAGAGACAAAGTTCTGATATTAACCAGTAAAGGTCTAACACCACCAAAGAACATCTGTGAAACCTAGAAGAGCTGGAAGTACCCTGAGCTCTCAAGCTGAGGCAGTAGGGAAACGAGGGCCTCAGTCATGCCCCCGGACATCCACCTCCAGCCCAGTGACAACCACCAAGGTGCTGGAAGCACCCTGGGCTCCTGGGCTGGGGGAGGCCCACAGCCTCAGCCACACCCCCAAATTCTGCATCCAGCCCAGTAATGATGAAGCCACCACTGGAAGCCCCTGGGCTCACCTGCCAGAATGAAGGGGTGCCACAGGCCTTGACCACGCCTATTCTTCCACCCTTCCTCCTCTTCCTTTCCCCTCTCCCCCTCCCCCTAACTGCTCCACAACAACATCTTAGAATGTAAAAAAATAAGAAGAAACTAATTTTAAAATAAATAAATAAAACAAAATAAATACATAAATAAAGTACTCAGGAGCATTTTAAAAGCTCCTATTTATATAAAATGATTGACATCCTGATTTAAAATCTTTTGTATCTATTACTTTAAAAGATCCCTAAGGAAATACACAAGGTGATAATCACTCAGCCTTATCTGAGTTACCAAGTTATTGAAATTAACAACTCAATATGTGAGTTCCCTCACCTAAGGTGTTCCCTCCTTAATTACTCTGGATTTACTAAATTTGCAAATGTAAATCCTTCAGTATGTAAGCTATTTTCATCTGAGATTAATTTTTTTTTTTTTTCCCCTTTTTGTCTTTTTTCGTGACTGGTAATGGGATCGCAACCCTCGGTGTCGCGCCCGCACCGCGCTCAACCAGTGAGCGGACCGGTCTCTATATGGGATCCGAACCCTTGGCGAGAGGGCCACCACGCTCCCAAGTGCCGCACTCTACCGAGTGCGCCACTGGGCCGGCCCAGAGATTAATTATTTTTAAAATATTGAATACTCACAGCAACAAATTGGTTATTTTCTAATTTAATGATGTCTCCCACTTTGACGTTCATCCATTTTTCATTCTGCAATCTAAGAAAAAAAGCAAAATTAATTTTTTTCAAGAATGGAGAAAAATCAAAAGCATAATCAAGGGAATGTATACACAAGGTAGCATCTTATAATAGAGAAGCCAATAAGACTTTCCTAGAACATTAAATTCAAGAAGTAGAGAGTAGAATAGTGGTTAGCAGAGGCTGGGAAGGGTGGGAAGGAAGGGGGTCAGGGAGAGGCTGGTTAATGGGTACAAAAATACAGTTAGATAGGAGAAACAAGTTCTGTGTTCAGGAGCATGGTAGGTGATTATAGTTAACAATAATTTTTTGTATATTTAAAATAGCTAGAAGAGAAGACTCGGAATGTTCCAACACAAGGAAATGATAAATGTCTGAGGTGATAGAAATCTTAATTACCTTCATTTGATCATTATTACACATTATATACATGTATCAAAATATCACATGTACTGCATAAACATGTATAATTATTGTGTATTGATTAAAAATAATAACTTATTTAAAAAGGAAAAAGAAATTAATTCTTCTTTACATGAGCAACATGGGAAGATAGGCCCAGAGAGGATAAGTGATTTGTCCAAGGATACCCAGTGATTTGGTGGTAACCCTGGGCTAAACTCAAGATGCCCAGTAGCCAACATGCTGCCCTGCCTTCCTTGAAGCTCCTGTGTATCATGGAGCTCCAAGCCGACCCTTCACCAAGTTCAAAGGGGTTTAAGATGAAAAGCTATTGTGCCCATGGGTTCTGCCCTCCAGTGACAAGATGGTCAGGGCTGCCCAAAGCCAGACAGGCCCTCTGGAAACAGACCACCTGTGGCAGTACACGGCGATGCCAACCAACCCCTCTGAAATTCCCTGAAATATAAACCAGCTTTGGTTTCCACATTGGAGGGCTTCATCACACTTCTTTCTCAGAGATTCCCTTTTAGGAGAGAAGGCTGGGATGAGTAGGGCCAGTTTCCCCCAAAAGTTAAGGTGGGCAAGTTAAGTTCATTATGCAGTTATTTTATTTTTAAAATAACCTAATTTACTTGTTTTATAGGCTGGAAAACAGTTTTTTAAATATTTATACAACTGTGAAATATGCCTCACACTATCAACCCTGCTGGGTCATTTGGCTTAAACACTCCAAGAATTTTTCTTTAATATGAATCCAAGTACATGTTGTTCTGGAAAATTTTCAATTGCGGCATTTTCATCTCTAGCCAGAATTTAATCATTTTTCCAGTGCCATACTTTTCTGTACTTTATCTGACAACAATGGGAGAACCTAGGAAGACTTCCGAATCTCATTTTATTTATTTTTATAGGTATGGATTATGTGCTGGTTGATTTCTCCTGGGGATACCTTGTCGGAGCAGTAGTGACATTTCTCAGGGGACAGTATCTCATAAATAGTAGATGTGAATAGACAAAGAAGGATATCATGTCTTTATTTATGGAAATTGCACTGCTACTGGATTGCCCTGAAGTCTCTAATTGAAAGTGCATCTGCTTCAGGAAGAATCTGAGATGATATTAAGTTTCATTTCCACACGCTAATTCCTCCTACTTGTACACTATAAGCTCCAGGAAGGACAGCACAAGAAACAGCCAGCAGTATTCCCTGGATGTGGACCTCAAGCTAAGCACCATCCAACTGCTTCATCAATAACCTACACAATGGACACACGGACACACCTGTCAGATTTATGGACAGCACCCTAACAAGAAGAGAGCTCTTGGTGTACAGTCGACCCAGGAATCTATAATTAACAACGATTTACTGTATGTTATCAAATGTCTAGAAGAGAGGAGATCAAATGTTCACATCACAAAGAAATGATTGTTTTGCAATGATGAATATGCTAATTACCCTGATTAGATCATCACACATCACATACATGTATTGAAATATAACTCTGTGCCCCATAAATATGTACGATCAATATGTTTCAATAAATAAATAAATAAAATGTAAAGAACGTTTTTTAAAAAGTGAAGTATGGAAAAACAAGAAAATGAAGAAAGCATAACCCTTACAAAGTAAGGTTATGATAGAAAGTCATTTTATGACACGAAACTGAATGAAGAGGAGGAAAAAGTAACAAAGTTACACTCTACAAATGCAATCAGAGTTTTGCAGAAAAGGGGCTTGGGGTATTGGAAAGCCATAGGCTGCATGAGATGTCTTGGTTAAACACTTATTTGAATATATACCTGTAGAACAATCAATGTGTATAATAAAATCAGAGGAGTTTTTTTCAAGTGCTATTTCCTATTCTATCTTACCAGAGACATATAACCGCACTTAACTAGGAACTCAGAGATACATTTAATGAACACCAAGGGTCACAGCTACAGAAGTACCCAAACTTACCAAACAAGCATAAACTGATAAAGACCCGCAAATGAATTTAAATCATATGTATTTTGAATCCAAACATTTTTCTTGCCCTCCCCACTGCCATCACCACTGACAGCAACACAACATCAAAGACATCCCAGCAGGACTGGAGGGGCAGACAGAAAAATTTGCTTTAAAGCTCTTCTTCAAAATATTTCTAGACTTCTAAGAATTTTAGATTGTATAGCGATTAGCTTTCGTCATCACCCTGAAGCAATGAAAGCAGACACTCCCTGGCTTTCCATTTGTGGTGCAGCTGTTCTCGGGGCTTGTGTTTGAGCAATCTTGCATCACAGCTCTGCGGGGACACAGGATGGCCCTGTGGGCTGTGAAGATGACACTTGGCTCCAGAGACTCAGCACCTTCAAACTTTGCTTTTATCTTTGTGAGGGAAAACCCTCTTGCAGTTATAGATGAATTGCAGTATATGAATATTCTGGAAACTAGTTAATTTGTTTAATTATACCAAATTGAGAAATTCCAAGACTTTAAAATGTGTTTCAGTTGTCAGTATCGTCATATTTCATATTA